TATATATATATATATATATATATATATCAGTGGAGGAAAGACTCTCTCTCATCTCCCCCTTCTGTCCACCTGCAGGTTCAAGATCATCATCATCTTACCATTGGAAGTAGAGATCAGTGAAAAACTATTTGATCAGTTTTGCTTCCTTTTCTATTCACAGCATTTATGCAAACACATTGAGATTTTCTCTAATTTCTTCACTATTTGAAATATTCAGTCATCTCCATGGCTTGCTTTCTGGGAGTATTCAAACACAAAAGCTTAAAAAACATTTTCCATGAGTATTTGTAGTAGTAAATGGCACACAAAGGGGTGCAAATAAACCCAAAGTGAATTCATTTAAAAATACAAACAACTATGTGAGAAATATTATTTTTGCTATATATCTATCTTATCTTTTGGTAAATTGGCATTTTATTTTCTTACATGGCACTTTAGCCCTTTTTATACATGTGCACATATTTGTGTGCATGTCGTGGTTTAAAAATTTATATGGTATTCGGATTGCTCTATTTACTATATATTAGGGGACATTCATAACACTTCTTTTTTTAATTGAACATACACAGGGCCGGATTCACTACTGCCCTGCACCTTGTGTAGTCTTTTACACCAGTGCAAATTGGGTATCAAACGCTACCAAAACTGAAGATGATCATTTTATAGCCATTTTGCACTAGTAGAAGTAACTGCTGAGTAACATCGCATCAGCCCACAATGTACATGTTTGTAATATTATACTAAATGTGCCTGCATCATCTTGTTAGCATTTCTTTTCACAATTGCAGAGATAAGATTGGACTTTTAAAAGAAATGTTTATTTTGATAACATTAAGCCTAAACCCAATGTGCAATTAATGCTGTCTACAGGAGATCTCTAAATAATTTGATAGGTTACTAAAACAAACTTGGCAACATTTCAACTATGGATTTTTAGATCAGACCATACTAATGGTTCTGCTTCCTTAAAGGATGGACAATCATTGGACTGAGTAATTCATTGAATACATCACAGTAACATGTACAGATCTTGGGTTGCAGTTGAAACCCAGCCAAATAGCTGCATTTTATAGTGTGCAGCTTTTCCTCTATAAAGCTGTGACATACTTTGCCCTCTAATCCCTTGAATAACTAATACTGATAGCTGCAGGTATTCACTTCAGTTCTAATAAGCTCTGCAATGTTCATTAGAGAAACAATCTCTAGTTAGAGCAGACTGAACTGAGGCAGCTAAATGACAGGAGAATTTCCAGAAGCACCATAGAAAACCTTAAAGTTCTCATTAACAAGGACAGAAGGCAAAGGTGGCTTTAAGCCACCTTTCTGCTCCATAATCCTGGGACTGGCTAGGGGCCTAAGGAGGCACTCACGCCAGTTTATAAGTCTCCTGAGAGGCGATTATGACCGTAACAATCTACAGAGCACAGTGTGCTTTAGCCCGTGAAACATCTTTTCCCACTCCCAGTACAATTCCTGCCCCAGGAGGTGAAGGGAATGCTTGGCTGCTCATTTAGAGTAGATATAAGGTTTCTTTTCACCCTCAAAATCTATCTCAGACTTCCTGTGTCTTTGGGTAAGTTATTTAGCCTTTCTGTGCCTTAACCTAGGGCAGGTCTCCACTATGGGGCTAAATCGACCTAAGTTACACAACTCCAGCTATGTTATTCATGTAGCTGGAGTCAACGTACCTTGGGTCGACTTATTGCAGTGTCTACACTGCACTGGGTCAATGGGAGAAACTCTCCCGTCAACTTACCTTATGCTTCTCGTTACGGTGGAGTACCAGAGTCGACAGGAGAGCAATCAGCGGACAATTTAGCGAGTCTTTACCAGACCCACTAAATCGACCTCCTGTGGATCAATCGCCACAGTGTTGATCCACAGTAAGTGGAGACAAACCCTTAGTTCTCCATCTGTAAAAATGGGATAACAATACTTCCCTTCCTCACAATGCTGTGTTGTGAGGATAAACACATTCAAAATTGTGAATCACTTTGAGATTTGCTGATGAAAAGTGCTGTATGAGAGTTAGGTGTTAGTATTCTTACATGCCAATAGAATCCTCTTTGTGTGAAAAAGCCATTCTGCATGAAATGGGTTGTTTTCATCCCTCCACTGGGCTCTATGCAGATGCATCTTTGCCAATTTCCGGGAGCAGAGCAGTGGGGATACTACTCTCCATTACATTTTAAAGTAAAGATGTTGCTCAATGTTCACATAAATATACTAGCACACTTGTTCTTCTTGATATTTTGCAGAGCTATTGAGTTAAACATTTAACTCAAGCATTTAAAGGAAGTTAATTAAGTGGTACAAGATAAGTATATTATACTAGGTTGTAGAGGAAAATGAACTACAATGAGGCTAACAAAATAAAACTAATAAAACTGTTTTTTGTAAAGTCTATTAGTGCCCAACCTACTAGAGGTATTTACATTTACATCTGTGAGCTTTGGATCAGACCTTAAGTTACTTTTTCAGAATCCATATAAATATTGGCAATTCATGAACATGTATGTTAGAGAAATTGGCATCAATTAAATTATACAAATAGCATAGGATATCAACATACACAGTGCAAGCCTCCACTTTCATTGATAAACTATACCAGTAATTGTTGTTTTTACTTTAATTTGAAGTCACTCAAACTCTTTTGGGGTTCATGTATTATTGATTCGGCCATGAGTCTCTTAAAAGACATATCTTCTCCTAGGGTTATTATTTTCTTTTAGATTTGAAAACAAATTTATAAATACAGGTTTTTAGTTCTTTTGACAGTATACTGTCTTTACTCTAGTCATAAACTAGCACTCTTCCTTGAAACTCCTTTTGGGACTTCAAGTAGAGTTCTAGTATCTACACCTTACAATGCACCTTCAGTTTTAAAAACATAAACAAAACATTTTAAGCCTAGTCTTCATTGATGCCAAGTGTTTCTAAAAGCTGCTAAAATGACTGACAGATAAAATTGTCTACTGCCCTTTCACGTTGAAAATGATGTTATCAGTTAAATGCATACATGCATCCAGCAATTCAGAGTTTTATCAATCAATATGTCTCAAAAGAACATGATGCTCCTTTTATACCTGATAAGAAAAAATATCTTGATCCAACTGGATCAAGTGTTGTCGTGTAGCAAAAGATAATTTACTACAAAACTGTCTGGAGTTATTCTTGTAATGGCTTATGGAATTAAATAGTTAAGCAAAACACATAATAAATGTAAGATATCCACAGCTAGTTGCAGATTCAGAAATGGTAAGGAAACTAGAAATGTGAATGGTCCATTCTCCTCTTGGTATGTCCAAGTTTCATAAATATTAACAGGTGCTCGGCCTGAATATCAAGGGAACAACAGACCCCTTTATTCTCAGATATCCTTCAATCCATGGCAGAATTCCCACTGATATCAATGGAAGTTGTGTATGGATTGGGGTTGTATATGACATATGATTTTTGAATGGCACAAGGTGAATTTTCAAAATGCTGTACTGGAGTAAAATAAGGATACTGAAGCATAAAATTCCAGTGGACAGTATGTTATAAATTACAGAGGCCACTCTAATGCCGAATACACAGTGTTTGGGGTGGTGACGATGGGAGCGTACACTATTAAGAAGCCCAAAAGAACCTGTAACTCATCAAAAACCTATCCCAAGAGAATAGACGGCAAAAGGTTAGCCATACAGGAAAGCAGCTAGCCCTCTCTAGCCAATTCATGCGCTAGTAACAAGGCTGGGTTCCAGTAAGGCCGGTTCTTCTGGGTTGTCACCATAACACAGTGATGTGATGTAATTATCCCCTTAACGAACATGCTGTGTTCTATTTGTGTTCAGACTGGCTCGTGGCCTATTTCAGGAGGTTTCCACCATTACCATTTAGCTCTTCTAGCCTCACAGATGGAAATTTAAGGGGGAAAATATTGAATTAACGCCTCATGAAAACTTCAACTTCTACATAAATAGCTATATTATGAACACCACAATTACACTTAAAATGTCAGTACTGAGATAGGGTCACATGTTCCATGACACCTGCAATGCAACAGCATCTGTGCCATCCTCTACCCAGCTGTCACTCTCCCGTATGTCCGTCTTCTTTGATATTTTTAAATAAAAGAAGAAAAACATGGTTTCTTAAAGTAAAAATTTATTTTATCATTAAACTGGATTAGCTGAAATAAAAAGTACCAGCCTGCTGCACTATAAAATTTCATATTACAACCTGTACCGTATATTTATCATAAATGCCCAGTTAGTAACTCTAAACCAACCATTCCCATAATACATGGTAATTAATCTAGTTCTAGATTTACTTCTGGATTGCTCTCAGAACAAGAAGTAGCTTCCCCAACACTTGGGAAACCTCTGGACCATGCAACTATAATAAAAAAAAATAGCCAGTTAACACTACATTGAATGAATTTGTGTGCACCTTACCTTAGCTATGATGCGGCACAATTGAGCACCCTCTTGGGTAAGGCTGAATAAACCAATGGTAGATGATTCTGTGATATATATATTATCTGATGAATTTATTTGTCTCACAAGATTCTGTGCAACACAAAAAGATAATAAACACCAGTTACTTCCAATGAGAAGAATCAAGGGGGGGATCGCTGTGGTTTTTCTTTTAGGTTGGAGTAACTGACTCTAGTCAGTTTAATCAGTTTTGAAGTTACTAATCACACAGTGAAGGGAGAGAGAGAGAAAAAGACATTGTATGGACCAAATTCTGCCCTTATTAACATTGGATTAACATATTTATTTCAACTGCACATATGTAACTGAGGGTTGAATTTGCCTCTACACCTCTTTATATAGAGATCTCTATTAAGAAAATAATAATATATTTAACATACTGAACAAAGAGCACTGTAATTATTTGGGAGAACATTATTTGATTTAGCATGGAATTATTCTATGATTTGCAAAGGGTGATTAATTTGCTTAGCTCATAACTGACATAATGCTATGAATCTCCTATTTTTACGCCGAAGTAATGCTGCAGACTACTGACCTAACAGGTCTTTTCCTCTTCTAGGCTCCACAGTTCTATAATAGGATTCTGCTAAGATCTATTAGCTACCCTCAAACTATAGAGGAAGTCTCATAGGTCAGTGCATGGCCTTGTGACAGAAAAAACACCGATTAAGTCTCCAGTAAATGTAATTGATTAAATGCATATTTTCTTTTTAAATTGTTATCTTGGTTTTGCATGTGTACCACTGCATTTGCGCAGATTAAGGGGGTTGTTAGAAGAGTATAGACTCCATGATGCTACATTTAATGTTGTTCTCTCCACCAGTGCATGTTATCATTACAAAGAAGAAATACACAATGATAATGGTCTTTAAGAAAGAAGCTCTGTATTTTTATTTTTCTCATATCTTTGGAAGAAGTGGAGAGAAAAATTCCACATTTATAAGCTTATGAGCCAAAATTCAGTCCACTTCTCTTCAACAGGCTGTATTTCTGTCTTTAACTTTTAACCCCACTGCCCAAAAAGTCTTCTTAGAAAGCCACAGAACCTATTGTTTTACATTTTAACATTAATCCAGACAGGAGTAAAAGCCTCACAATCCATGGCAACTGTGACGGGTTGCCACTTGATGCACTGGGATTTCACTCAGCCCGCCTACTCCACTAGCCTGGGCTCCCTCTCCCTGTTTTGCTGAATCAGGCTCTCTGGCCTCTGGCAGCACACACACAGGTAGGGAGCACCAGCTGTAGAATCACACAGAGCCTGCAAACACCTCTCTATGGGAAAGTTCAGCTAGGAAATTGCCCAGTATGGCTTCCATCTGCAAAGTACACCCGAGATAATATTGTCTTGTGCTATATAGAAAGATCTGCACAGCCCAAGCTCATAAAAATTCGCCCTCTCCCTGTGTGAAGAGAGATATGCACAACTTCTCCCCCCCCCCCCAACACACACACACACAGTTATAAATTGCACAAACAGGGTTATGTTATAAACAAGAAATAAGTTTATTAACTATTAAAGGTAAATTTTAAGTGATAAGAGATAGCAAACAGAACAAAGCAGATTACTAAGCAAATAAAACAAAACACGCAAACTAAACTTGATTCACTAAAGAAACACGTTACAAAATGTAATTTCTCACCCTAAATGTTGACTTTAGGCAGGATACAGAGTTTCTGTAACTTAGATTTCCAGTTATTTCTCTTTACAGACTAGACTCTGTCTCAGTCGGGATCAGCCCTTGCCTTTCCCTCAGCTTAGTTCCTTTGTCTTTTCAGGTACTTTTAGCAGTCTTTCTTCTTGGTTGGGAAGGCAGTGAAGAGAGAATCCAGATCAACCTACTCCCAAGCCTTAAATAAAATTTACGTAAGGCGGGAATCTTTTAGTGGAAAATTACTAGAAGTCCAAGATGGTGTTTAGTAACAGGTGACAGGACCACCTGACCTAGTAGTGTTGCAGCAACTTCCCAGGACACTTCTCAGGAAGGAGAGAGATTAGTATCTTCAAAGTTCTATGGTTCTCCTTAATAGCTTATCCCGGATGATTGCTTACTGTCTAGGAGGCCTTCTCCCAAGTACACACCCACTTGTAATTGTTACATAGTCAATATTTCTAACTTTAGATACAGAAATGATATATGCATACAATTTGGATAATCACATTCAGTAAATCATAACCTTTCCAATGATAACTTACAAGACCCATCTTGCATAAAATATATCTTAGGCCATATTCATATCATAACCATATTTCTATGAAGAATATGGGGTGTAACATCACAGCAACATTTATCAGGACAGAGAGCTGCTGTTTGAGTTGGCAGTTCTGACCTCAACAGGCTCACTAGACTCATGCATGTGGTTCCCAAGCAGTGCTATACTAGCGCTGTGGCCACTCAGAAAATTTCTAGTTTTAGCCAAGCACATAGACACTAGGCATCCAGCCAACGGGCAGCCTCAGGAACTATCCTGATGGACTCTGAGCACTAGAATAAAAGGAATAGGTACACTCCTTTGAATTCCAGGGTGGACACATTTTCTAGGAGGGACTGTATAATGTACTATGCCAGGTAACATAAAACAAAAGTGAAAAGATTTTAAACAGTTTCTAAAAGTGCTTTTGTATTAGTGACCCTGAACTCTTTCCAAATTTTCACCCATTCAAACAAACACACACCGCTCTTCCATATACAATCGTTCACAGAAAGTATTTATGCTTCCCTTTAAATAAAGTGATTCAGTATTTCACACAAACATAGTGTCATTAACTATAAAGTGAATCCAACTTCTTTTCCTTTTAGTTAAGGTAAAGAAAAAAGGCAAGTCTGAGTACAGCCTAGTTACTTTATTTGCTAAATTGAAATAATGACTTAAATTATTTACACAGCTATTTATGCTTGGAATCATTTGTGGCATTACATATGGTTCCCGTAAACCATAACTAAAGCTCAACGACAGGCAGCTTGTTACCTTGACTTAGCTCTGGGATGCTGAAAATCGCTTCTCTAGCTTCCCATTTCCTGGGCAACAATCTGTTTTAAAACTAAGATATTAGAAAGAGAGGAATGTAACAAACAGGCCATAATGAGTTTGAATCTCTTAAGACAAGAAGTTAAATTCTGCTCTAAATTAGAGCACAGAAGCAATTTCATTTTGGCAAAGTATTCAAAGTACTATAACTATTTCCTCAATTCTCAACCCTTCATATTCCTTTTCTGCAGTGAAAACATAATGTTTCTGGGCTATATTAGCATCAGCTTCTGAAGTATGCACAAATATTACAAGACATAGTTTAAATCTAGCCAAATTGGTACAGATTGAGTTGTTATCATTTAAAGAATGTTCCCAGGGTGAATAAATATGTAATCCCAGTCCAATGCCACAGTCCCAGTCCTTATATTTCCAAAAGGTGATTAAATGATAGGTTCTATGATCATACAGTGCATTTACTGAAAAGGTTCCATGCAGGAAGGGGTTTGTTCTCTAGAGTCCTTTGGTCCTAAGTGGGGAGGGAGAAAAATCTTCCATTTCTGGGTAAGGAGAGGCACTGTTTGTGTCTTTTACCATCATTCATTAATTGGTTATTTTCTGATTTGGGGAGGGAAAAAAAGATAATGGGTTTGTTTAGCTCATACACAATTACATATTTCACTCACTAGAACCTAAAGTCTAGGACAGATGTGGCCTTGTGGGGAAAACCTGTGGAGAAGAGCCAGCCAGCAACTCCAGCCAATAGGAGCCAAAAGCAGGGACTGTTCCCCTGGCAGAAGATTATAAAATGGGGCCCAATTGGAGCCACTCTTCCCCTCCACACACCTCCCCCAGCACGCCCCTTGACCCAGAACTGTGCAGAAGAGACCACAGATGCTCTGGGGGCACTAGGACCCACATGGCACCTCCTCACCCTCCCATCATGTGGCCCTGAGAAAAAAACAGCAGAGAGGAGCTGAAGACTCCATCTGATCGGGGCAGAAACAGTCAATGCAGGGATATTCAGAGAACTTCCCACAGTTTTGCCTGTCCTGTGCTGATTGGATGTTTTCACCAATCCCATCTTCCCCACTCCCTCAGGGTATGTATACACTACAAGAGCAATTAGATTTTACTTAAAGCGAATTTGTGGAACCGATATTACAAAGTCGAATGTGTGTATCCACACTACGGACAGTAATTCGACTTTGTGAGTCCACACTAACGGGGCAAGCGTCGACATTGGAAGCGGTGCACTGTGGGCAGCTATCCCACAGTTCCCGCAGTCCCCGCTGCCCATTGGAATTCTGGGTCGAGCCCCCAATGCCTGCTGGGGCAAAAAATGTGTCGAGGGTGGTTTTGGGTAACTGTTGTCATTCAACCCTCACTCCCGTCCTCCCTCCGTGAAAGCGCCGGCGGGCAATCAGTTTGCGCACTTTTTTGGTGATTGACAGCGCGGACGCCATAGCACTGCGAGCATGGAGCCTGCTGCGATCATCAATGCAGTTATGACCGTTGTCAACACCTTGCACCTTATCATCCACCTTTTTCAGAGGCGGATGCTGAGAAATCGGGCGAGGTGGCTACGGCAGCGCGGTGAGGGCATTAAGTCTGAGAGGGGCACAAACCTCTCACAAAGCACGGGACCCCGCGCTGTGGACATCATGGTGGCAATGGGTCATGTTGATGCTGTGGAACGGAGATTCTGGGCCCAGAAAACAAGCACAGACTGGTGGGACCGCATAGTGCTGCAGGTCTGGGATGAATCACAGTGGCTGCGAAACTTTCGGATGCGTAAGGGAACTTTCCTGGAACTTTGTGAGTTGCTGTCCCCTGCCCTGAAGCGCAAGGACACCCGGATGCGAGCAGCACTGACTGTCCAGAAGCGAGTGGCCATAGCCCTCTGGAAGCTTGCAACACCAGACAGCTACCGGTCAGTCGCGAATCACTTTGGAGTGGGCAAATCTACCGTGGGGGTTGCTGTGATGCAAGTAGCCAACGCAATCGTTGAGCTACTGCTCTCAAAGGTAGTGACCCTGGGAAACATGCAGGTGATCATAGATGGCTTCGCTGCGATGGGATTCCCAAACTGCGGTGGGGCTATAGATGGAACTCACATCCCTATCCTGGGACCTCCCCACCAGGCCAGCCAGTAAATTAACCGAAAGGGCTACTTTTCAATGGTGCTGCAAGCACTGGTGGACCATAGGGGACATTTTACCAACATCAACGTCGGATGGCCGGGCAAGGTTCATGATGCTCGCGTTTTCAGGAACTCTGGTCTGTTTAGACGGCTGCAGGAAGGTATTTACTTCCCGGACCACAAAATAACTGTTGGGGATGTGAAGATGCCTATAGTCATCCTCGGGGACCCAGCCTACCCGCTAATGCCCTGGCTCATGAAGCCCTATACAGGCGCCCTGGACAGTGAAAAAGAATTCTTCAACTACTGGCTGAGCAAGTGCAGAATGGTGGTGGAGTGTGCTTTTGCACGTCTGAAGGGGAGATGGAGAAGCTTACTGACCCCATTGTTATTGCAGGTTGCTGTGTACTCCACAATCTCTGTGAGAGCAAGGGGGAGACGTTTATGGTGGGGAGGGAGGTTGAGGCAAATCGCCTGGCTGCTGATTACGCCCTCCCCGGCCACAAACTCACATAGCCCCCCCCCCCCCCCCAGAACATGAAAACCACCTCCCTGACTGATCAGGGTGCCTAGTGACTGCAATGTGTGTGTGACCTTCTGCTGAACCTGCCCCCATGTCTGTACCCTGGTAAAGGTGACTGTCCTCTCCAATTACCAACCCCCTTCCCCCTCTTCAAACACACTCTCCTCTAAAAGAACATGACTGAAACACTCATTAACAGAAACGTATTTTTTATTAACAACTACACAGTTAGGGGATGAAACTGGGACTGGGGCTTCGGTGAAGTGCTTTTGGAGTGAAGGAAAGGATTCATCAAATCTTTGGGAATGAGAGCCTTCTGCTACATGAGCAGTTTTCAGGGGTGGAGTGACTGTTTTCATGGCCCCTGCCACCCCTCCTTCTTGGGACTTTGGGTGAGGGGGGGACGGGACTTTGTGGTGCGGGAGGGCAGTTAGAGAGAGAATGCAGCGGGGCTCTGTCCTGCCTCCGGTCCTGCAGAACATCTACAAGGCGCCGGAGCGTGTCCGTTTGCTCCCTCATTAGTCCAAGCAGCGTTTGAGTCGCCTGCTGGTCTTCCTGCCGCCACCTGTCCTCCCATCCGCTGTGTGATCGCTGGTATTGCGACATGTTCTCCCTCCACTGGGGCTCCTGTGCCGCCTCGGCTCGGGAGCAGCCCATAAGTTCGGAGAACATCTCGTCCCGTGTCCTTCTCTTTTGTTGCCTGATCTGTGCCAGCCTCTGGGAGGGGGATGCCGGGGTAGCTCGGGAGACACTCACAGCTGTGGGATGGGAAAAAGGGAGTGAATTCCTCAGAAAGATACAGTTTTGCGAACAATGAATATAGTCTTTCTCTGTGAACAAGACCATGCACAGCACCTATCACATGCGCACTCAGTACAAAGTCAACTGTTCGGACTTCAGATTGAGTCAAGGGCTTTAAACCGTAGACATCAAGCAAGCGCGGCCGGAC